GTGCATAATGTTATTTATCTTTTATTGTTATTACTACTACTATTATTGTTACTTGTATTTTTGTGTGATTTTATTTAATACCATATGCTATTATATACTGCAGTATTATTATTGTCTAGTGTATCAGCAATATTGTGTTTTTATTGTCAACATGTCAACAATCATTTATTAGTTGCGACATGTCCACTTATTCTGTTTATAAATAGTGATATTCAACCAGTTGCGGTTGTTTTATAATTTATAAAAGTATTAGGATAAAATTCCTAATACTTGAATATTTTAATTGGTTTTAAAATTTAATGGACTAATGTTTGTTTAAATAATTTTTTTCAAATTTATTCTTTATTTTGAGCATAAATTTTTCTTAACTATATGATATCAAAAATGTATACTTGTATTTTTAGCATGTACAAATACAAATGTGGATTAAATATTAATTAAACATTATTAACAATAATATGTAAATTAAAGAAGCATTTATTTATCATAGTACAACAGTTGCATTTTGTGCATTGATTATAGTGTATTCTTATAGCTACATAAGGAACCATTTATTACTATTTTAGGTTAAGAGTTAGGAACTTGTATAGCTTATTGCTAATGAAAGTAATGATAAGGGTCTAATGCACTATCTATGTTATCTCTTGCTTAGGGTCTTTATTAGTTTAAAACATGAATAAAATTCTTAAAATATTAAAGAAAACATCATTAGCACCTAATTATTATAATTTATTTTTTATGAATACTTGTAGTATTCCAGTAACCTTTCAGCAAAACTCACCAGACCTACGTGCTCTATAAAAGACTTAATTAAATTAGACTGTTTTATTTTAGTTTTTTCAGAATTGATGGTAATTATTCTTTGATTTGCATAGACTCCAAATGTGTTTTTGTTTTTTCTTAATCACTATTCCTTTATCTTTTATCTTTCTTCTACTTTCTGAGATTGCACTCTTTCAAATGTTGTTTCTAATTAAAAATACAGAGCTTTTTTTCACATCATTCCATAATCAATATTGTTGTTATTGGTAACTACTTGTCACACTAAATGTCTCTAGTTTTTGACATCCTGGATCTAAAGCTTAAAATTTTATCTTTATCAATTTTTTTATCGGATAGTTAGCTTTGAGACTTGGTTTTCAGACAACCCGGTATCACTCATTTTAATTCCTTGATTATGTTTTGTATTTGTCCCTAACTCTTTAATAGTTATACTTCTGCTATATCAGATGTGCTCTATAATTGCATTTAATGCTACTACTTTATGGGTGAAAGGGATTCTTTTTATTATTTTCTTTGTAATCGTTCTTGAAAATATTATTTTTGACTATCTGCTAAAAATTCTGATTCCTTTATATTCTCCTAGATTTAGGCAGGCACAAAAGCATTTATACCTTCTACTTTTATCTATATAATGCTTCATTATAATCCATGGTTTTCTCTCTGTGTAGCTGCCATTTCTAATTATAATTAGTTCTTTCTTCTTTTATACAAGACATTTTGTAAAATTTTGTTGTTTTTATACTAGATATTATGTCAAAGACATATTGTCTAGTATAAAAACAACAAAAGTCAAAAAGTCATTTGTTTCTATTCGCAGAAAAAAATGACTTTTTATTATTGCAAGAAGATGTCTGATGGACTTATTATGTTTGATGGATCCATTATTTTCAGAAAAAATGACTTTTTATCATTGCAAGAAGTTGATGCTAGGATCCATTATTTTCAGAATACTATCTGTTATTTTATTTGTGAAGTTACGTTCAATAAAAAGTTAATAGCAGACTTTAAGAATATCTTTTAAAATATTGTCAACTAAGATAAGCCTACCATGCTGCCTTATATCTTATGTTAATTATGTCTAAACCTCTTCCAATGATATTACAGTACTATTTTACTTATGCTCAAACTAGTTTCTTAAATCTAATGCTAATGTCTTTCTAAAATTATAATTTTTTTAAATTATTAAAATTTTAATAGCTTTTCTTGAGTCTGATTAGTTACTTTCTGAATGTAAATAAAAATCTTTAAAATAAAGTTCTACTTGTTATATTTTTTAATTGTTGCACAAAGGTTCTGTTGTTGGTGGAAGTGATGAGGCAGATGTTTTGCTCTTGACGAAAGGCTTTTAATTACATCTGGCATTCTGGTTTTCTCACTAAGTTTGCTTCATATGGTGTATTTTAAAAGTTTTTAAAAGTTATTGTCAAAGTTTTCTTTTATTTCTAGTAACTTCTGGACTACAACAATATTTCATTATTGGTTCTATGTTGTTTCTTATCAATGAAATTTCTCAAATGCTTAACTCTAAAGTTAAATCTGTACCTTGATTAAAAGTTTTATCTATATTATCCTTAATATGGATTTATCTCTAAAGCGGCTAAATTTGCTTATGAAACTATTTCTGTATTTCTCTTGTAAATAAAAATTCATTAATTTTTATTTGGTGTGACAACTTGGGGCTTGCAGTTGCTGGTGAATGTAAACCCAAAAAATACTCAGTTGCTTACAATCAATACTCAGTTGTTTACTGCTAATAATAAATAAAATGTTGTTTATATTTTTACATTGATGAATGGTAACACTTGTATTTTTATTTTATTTTTAATGATTTTGCAATTTTATATATTGCGTTTGTTATTTATGTATTTTATTTTACAAAATGGCCATGATAGAAGTAAAATTCTTGGTTTTTTTATGGACAGGTGATATTTTTTACATGTTATAAAGACAACTTACCTAGAAAGAATACGGAGCTCTGATATAAAATGCCCTATTTTTATGTGGGTAAGAGTAGGGAGAGGATATAAATCTTTTTTTTAGTTGTATTGCAATAAAAATAGTAAGAGAGAGTAAATCATGTTTATGTCAGAAAAGGCATTCATTTGTAAAAAATTGCTTCAACTCTTTATTATTAGCCAATTTTTAAATACAAAAATTAACAATGAAAATTTACCATTAAATTTTTATTATGTTTTAATAAGATATTAAACAAAAAATGCAAATAAGTGCAAAATGTGCAAAATAATGCAAATAAAATACCAAAAAACTTGTCATAATAAAAAAAGATTTTCACACTTTTGGCAGAACCAATTTCCTCTGGTAGTTTATTCCACCATTTTGCAACTCTATTTGTCAGAAAATTTTCCTTTGACAGAGCCGATGACATGAAGGAGGAGGGGGGGGGGACCAGGATGGCTTGCTTGATTTGTTTATTTTTATTAGCTCAATTACATGCTTTATGTCATCTAAATAGCTCAATATTGTGCTTTATGTCATCTCATCAATATGGTGCTTTATGTCATTTCAGTCAGGTCAGGTTTATCCTGCTACTGGTAACATGTAACCCAGTACAATCTGCTTCATGTCCTGCTGCCTTGTAGGATATGCCTTTTTAGGCAAAGGCTAGGAGATGCAAACTCTGACATAAAACACCCCCTGCTTTGGGGCTCTTGGTTGAGCAAAGGCTAGAGACGGTGTCTTGATAAAAATACTCATCTTGGGCAGATGTTAAATGCATCCGGCTGCTGTCTTGTAGAAGGCCTCCTAGGCAAAGACTTAAGGGGTAAACAGATTCTATCTGTAGATCAGCCTCGCACCCCTTCTCCATCTATTAGGCTGGCGCAGATGTTTTCTTAATACATTGTTTCCAGTTTAGGATGTTGAACGCTGGATCTTCTTGACTCGATGCAAGGATTTTGCTTGTGTCACTGTTTTTATGACTAGGCAACTCATTCTATTATCTCCAAATGAGGGTACAGCTCTAAAACTCTGTTTTATGGTTCTGAGGCCGGCTGGTAGTCAGGTTTCCCGAACTCTGTGGTAGCTCTCAGAAAGGCTGATTCCATCAACAGCTGAAAAATATCAGAGTACTAACAGTGCCATGATGCGCATGGATGGTGTCCCTGTTTGCTCTTTTGGTGTGCATTGCCAAGGCCATATTGGAGCCCTTTGTTACGGCTTAGGGTTTATTAGTGGAAATGAGGCAATTGCTTGGGCTATAAAACAGTGTACTGAGTACTATCTATGTTTCGAGTCAAAATCTTTAACAAATTTAAAAATGAATAAAGTAACAAAAACTATAAAACACAAAAAACCACAGTCATCACCAAGTTCGCTAAACCTATCATTCACCAGTATTCGTGGTCTTCGAAGTAACTTTTTTTCTGTTGAGTCTTATCTCTTGCAAAGTTCACCAGACCTACTTGCTCTTTGTGAGACTAATTTGAGTTTAACTGTCTCATCTCGTGATCTTAGTGTTGATGGTTATCTTCCTTTAATTCGTAAAGACTCCAATAGTCACATGCTTGGCCTAGGCATTTACATTTGTAAGAATTCACCCATTTGTCAGGAAACTAGGTTTGAATCCACAGACTACACTTTTATGTGCTTTCGTTTAGCACCACTTCACTCTTTCACCTTTCTCTTTGTTCTATATCGCTCTCCTTCATCTTAAGAGTGCACTCTTCTTGATGTTATTTCTGATTATATTGACCAAGCCCTCATTCTTTATCCATCAGCCAATATTGTTGTTGTCTGACTTTAATGTTCATCACACTGAATGGCTTGGCTCTAGTGTCAGTGACTCTGCAGGCATTAAGGCCCACAACTTTTGTCTTTCTCAATCCCTAAATCAAATAGTTAACTTTCCAACTTGCTTTCCAGACAACCCGAATCATTTACTTTCTCTACTCAACTTATGTCTTGTTTCTAATCCTAGTCAGTGCTCAGTTTCTCCACACTCACCCTTAGGTGCTTTTGATCATGGTTTGGTCTCTCTAAAACTATTATCTCATTCTTCTTTACCATCAGAATCCCCCTATCATTGTACATCTTACAACTACCTTAAAGCTGACTGGGACTCTTTCCGTGATTTTCTTCATGATGGCCCCTGGGTAGAAATCTTTCGTCTTCCTGTTGACAAATGTGCTTCTTACATAACTTCGTGGATTCAGGCTGGCATGGAATCCTTTATTCCCTCTCGAAAATTTCAGGCTAAG